GAAGAAATCTGTCGCCGAGTAAAAGATTTAGATTAATGCTTCTACAAATGGTATTTGCATCCGTCACTTTTAATGGACAGCGCATAAACCTCTATTTAGAAAACCTACCATTATGTATGCATTTGGTGTGCTTGTTTCTTGACAGAGTACATTTTTAGATCTGGCCTTTTCTTAATAAAATCTGTGCAAAGGATGCAGATGATATCCCTATACCTGCTTTCAAAGGACTTTTTCCAAGTGCTTGTTTTATTTATTAAATGTCTATCTGGTAAACTTTTTTTTGTAAACCCTAAGTGGACTGTATCATTCGCATTGTTAGCCATTTTACACTTCAGTTAAAATAGTTTTCCTCAGTTGTAAATATCATGATCCAGAATTAATAAGAGAAAACATCTAATTTTTTAAAGACAAACGCTGTTCTCCTTGGTTTATGAAAAAACATAATGGAAATAAAATAGAATATTGACATAATAGCACAAGATGACATTATTATAAAACTAAACGGGCACAAGAGAAATTTCCTGGGAAAGTTTACATCAAAAACAGTGAATATGGTATATTTCTTAGTGATACGGAAAATAAAGACAGATTTGTCCTTTATATGAATTACTGAATATGAATAAAAACTTTAAATCCAGGAAGTATATTATCAGAGATGTAATTTTTGTTAATAAGATATAGGTAATATATTGGGTACAAAGACAGAAATGCATTATGTGCTCAATTATTTTATTATCTCAAGGTTTAATATTCTTTGCGAGAACTTTTAGTGAAGCAGAGGGTGGCGCTTCCTTTTCACTGCACACGGTTTAAGCAGCATGAGTTGTCACAGCTTCTGAGCCCCTGTACCGACACCCTGAGTCGAGCCAGGGGAGCTGCCCATATCATGCATTGGCTCTTGCATGTCACTGTCTGGACAGGGACCACACTCCAGCTGGTACTGCTGGGGGTGACACTGCTGAAGGGCCTGATCACCTGTATTTGGCTGCAATTGAGGAACTGGGATGCTGACTATTAATTTTATATTTCAGCTGCCCTTCCCCTCCCCCAAAGCACCTAATCACTGCCCTCCGCCTCAACAATGCCAGTACAAGGTGACATTGCAAAGACCGGAGCTGGTTCAGCCTGAGTTGAGTCACAAAATTGTGCCATGCTGGGGCTTGGGCTCAGCTTTTGATTTACAGGTACCTTCTCCCCTGCCCCCCCACCCCCATCCNCTCTATCTGGGTCATTTTTAAGGCTTGTAACCAGACTTACAGTCTTCTATGTGTTTTACTTTAAGCTGCTGCTTCCTCTGTGTTATTGGATTGTGCTCATTATCAGTGGCTCTTGGGCTCACAGTAATAAAGAATTCCAAAACTGATTAAGATGTATGCTTTCTCTACCTGCTGCCCGTTCAGATGTTTAGGTCATTTTGGCTCAGCTTGCTAATAAGAATGGCTGCTTAAGGCATTCCGAGTGGAAGGGGGGGCCTGGGGGTAAAAGGCTTACACTTGAGTTGGCTGCTTTTACTAGAATGCTCCACTGACCCCATCCTGCACCTTTGTCTATTCCAGGGCACTAATGGTCACTCATATGCCTGTTGCACACAGTCCTGCGGGTTAAACACCCACTACTCTTTGGACTGGTCCTGCCTGCTCATGACAAAAAAAATCAGGTACTTCTTGACAGTTCTGTTAAAAGGTTTAATATTTAAATTACACATTAAATACAATCAAATAGGCAGCAGCAGGTTTATTAAGCATCAAGTGAGTGGGTGTGTGTGGTGGAGGAGGGAATCATGGAGTCGGCAGTGTCCAACAGGATTCCAGAGTAAGTCGGGCCGTTAGGTGGGTTAGGGCTGTCCGCTCTCCCTGTGGTGCACACTGGTGATATGAGCTGTCTTTCCCTCCGTCCTCCGCTCCCACCCAGCCTGCACCGGCTGGCCTGCGACGTGAGCTAGCAGCTTGTTAAATCTACCTGGAACTGGGGCCAAAAGTGATCAGCCCTTTAGTTCTGGAAGGAGAGCTGATCTCATTTGTCACCTGAACAAGCAGCAGCACCTAAACAGAATTACAACTATCCATACGGAAGCTTCTCAGAATTGTCAGCTATCGTTGGCACAAGACCTGGTCAATGTCGAAGCCGGTGCCATCCCCTGACCTGGAGGTTTAACAGACTTGCCAGAGCTCCTGTGCCCAGACCGAAGAGAACCTGGAGTCAGGGAAATGCTCGGGAGGCCGGACACCTGTTCAGCAGAGACTGCAAGGACGGCCTCCGACTACTTGTTCTGCTCTTGGTAAAAGGAGTCAATGATATCTTTGTACTTCTCCAAAACTGTGGGCCGCTTCAGTTTCATTGTGGGACCTAAAAGAGAAGTTGGAAGGGATGAGTGAGGCCCAGGCTCTGAGAACTCTGAGAAAGTGTGTGGCGAAGATCCAGACTCAGTGCTGTGACTCAGGAGTTAAGCCAGACAGGACAGAGGGGGCAGCCTCCAAGAGAGTGAAGCCTCTTCCTGGTGTCCACACCCCTCATATACGTCCCCTCCCACGTTGTGCCAGGGTTGGTCTGTCGCTGATAGAATATAGAGGAGGTGATGGTGTGTCACTTCTGGGAACAGGTTATAAAACACTGCAGGTTTTTCATATGCATTGTAAAGTGGTGTAAGTCACATCCACCTTACCCTTGACCTGTACCTATTCCTGATCCTCAATCCATTTGCTGTTCTGTCCCTTAAACAAATAAGTGATTCAAGCAGTTTTTTAAAAGGAAAAGGGAGGGAGGAAGGGAGGGACAGACTATGGTTTCCATCTTGGGCTCTTCTGGATCACTCTTTCTGGGGCAAGCCAGCTGCCGTGCTATGTGGTCCACTGGCCAAGAACTGAGGTCTCTGCCCAACAGCCAGCATGGAACTGAGGCCTGCCCACAGCCACGTGAGTAAGCGTGGAAGTGGACACTCCAGCTGCAGATAACCACGGCCCCAGCCCACATTGACTGTGACCTCATGAGAGACCCCGAGCCAGAGCTATGCGGCTCCTGAATCCTGACCCACAAAAATGAAGATAATAAATGTTTATTGTTTCCAGCTGCTGCATTTGGGGGTCATTTATAACACAGCTATAGATTACTAATACACAAATCATCAGCATTTTAGTGAAAGTTTATACAATAGTGGACATCACGCTTTGATAGATTGTGATTCATCGGGGAAAAGCGCAGGCTAGGGGGAGCCTCTGCTGTGGTCTTTATGAGAGATCGTCCCCATATCACTTTTCCTGGCCTTGGTTTCCCTTCTCTAAAGCAAGGTTGAAAGGGCTCTCACTTGAAGTTCTGGGTACCTTTAAATATCCAACTCACTCTTGACTGTGTAACTGGAAACTTCAAAAGCAAAGCCATTTATATAAACTGCACAGAGAGGACACCTTCTGTCGGGTTGACCTCGCATTCAGTTTGTTAGCACCAGAGAACCAGATAAGCTCAAGGTCTCCAGCTGCAGCTCAGCAGTCCTGTATATAGTTGCATCTGGGTTTAGCCTTGACGGGTTGAGGGGATATCACTGGAGAAGCCATTCCTACCTCCCCTGTGCCATAAACAGCCAAGATGCCATAGCCACAGTGGCCTCACCCAGCCAGCTGAGGCTGTACCAGAGGCATTTTCTGGTTCTGTGGACCGTGGTCCAGAACGGTTTTCTTCACCCATTACATGAGCCAACTTTACAGAAGGTTACAGTAGCCTCAGCCTTAAAACCAGGCGACTCCAGCCCAAACCCTAGCAGGGTTCCATTGTTTTTAGGGGGATATGTCAAGGCAAAGTTAAATGTCCAATGTTCAAATTAGGGAGTTCTAGCATGTATCTTATGCATTCAACAAGCTCTACACAACCACAAGCCCATGCTCCAAGCAGGGTCCCCTGACAGGATGGAGATGGCTGTCACCCAAAGCCCTGTCCATGACCTTCTACCTGCTGTGGCTGCTTCAGAGCGGGCCCCTCCCAGGCACTGCCATGGCCTCTGCCTTCCCAGACAGCCCCTGGAATGATGAAAAGAGAAAACCTACCCAACTCTCCTCCTGAGATGGAGAAGTCCCTCTCAAGGATGGCCCACTTCTGGATGTGGTAGGGTCGGGCTGCCGCGTTCATGTTGACCCTCTGGATCCCCTCTTTGATGGCCTGATACACAACCTCATCCTTCTTCCCCACGATCTCAGACACTGTGGTGGCTTTGCTGCCCACCCGCTGGCAGAACTCCACGGCTTGTTCGGTCAGATTATCAGTTGGGTCAGAGGTGTCTGGATCCAGAGTGCACTGAAAAGCCAGAGAGCACATGAGGACCTGCCTCGTTCTGCAGGACACAAGCCCTGGTCTTGGAGGAGGCCTTACTGTGGATGGCAAGGGTGTGAGGTCTGTTTCAAAGAGACGGTTCTAGAATGAGTAGGACGCTACTGTGTCGAGCCTGTGGTGTGGTGGAAGGAACAGTGGTCAGAGAATGAGAAGTCCTGTCAGTGAAGTCATCATCTGTAAAACAGACACTGTCACTTCTGCCCGTCTACCACCCTGTCAGCTGTGTGCCTGCTGAAGGAAACGAGGAAGGCAGCAGCACTTGGTAAGCTGGAATATTCTGGTAGCACATGAAGGACCAGCACAGTGGCATATGGGGGACAGAAGAAATTTCCATGTGCTACAGCTGCCCCCAGGGTGCAGGCAGCACTGACTGCAGTTATTCCAGAATAAAGCCATGAGATCCAGATGAGCCCGGGGCTGAATGTGGCTTCTGCTACAGACTGCTCCCCCAGAGCCCCCTAGACGTACCTTCAAGGTGAGCAGCATGGACAGGAACTTCCTCTGGTCCCCGATCAGCATGGCATTGCTGATGATGGGCAGCTCCATTTTCACAGCCTCCTCAATGGGCACAGGGGGCACATTCTCCCCACCGGCCGTGATGATTAATTCTGGGGAGGCAAGGCCAGGTCCCAGCACAGGCTGTAGTCCAGGTGCCCCAGCTGAACCACGACCCAAGCCTCAGCCACAGCCCAGAGGCCAGAGCAGCAGGTAGTGCTGCTGAAGATGCCCCCTCTCTGGGAACCAAGTGTCAGGCCCTCCAAAGACCTCGTGCCTGCCAGGGGACGGTGGCAGTCCCCTGAGGACAAATGCTTACCCAGGCCCCCAATTGGCTCATCACCCAAGACTTTGCCTGCTCAGGCATCTCATCCACGGCCCTCTTCTGCTAGCGCCAGTTCCTCAATGAACCCCCACCTGCCCCTCAGTAGCTTGCATGTCATTTCTCTTCCCTGCCTTTGCTTAATAACCACCATCCCTGTCGTTCACACAGCACTCACCACCACGCTAAGTGCTTTACATACAGTAACTCATGTCATCCTCACAATAAGCCTGTCATTTTGCAGATGAGGAAACTGAAGCACAGAGAGGTTCATTAACTTACCCAAGGTCACATGTTAATGAGCGGGAGAGCTGAGATTTTAAATCCAGTCCAGTCCCAGAGTCCGTGCTCTTCCCCACCCTCCTATGGTGCCCCCCACCTTCCCTGTGTCTTTCCCACTAGAAAGCCCTCTCTCCTTTATTCCCTCAGTCCAACACGCTGCCTATTCTTCGGTGACCAGCTCAGTTGCCTCTTTCAAGAAGCCTCCAATTCTTCCACCTCCCCCTTCTTTGAGCTTTTCTTATGGCATCCATCTGCCCATCCATTGGTTCATCCTTTCATTCAAATATTTGTTGAGTGTCTCTGTGTGCAAAGCCAGGTATTATGTATTCAATGCACTGGTCTTCTGTTCTTTGAATGATGGCTTACTACTAGGCTAGATGGTGATCAATTTAATAAAATAAAATCCATTAAAATAAATAAAATCAACAAATGCACCTTGAATGATTTTAGCAAGACTATAATCCTGTCCCCCAGTTCTGTCTGATTCAACAGATTAGTTGGTCACATTCTGTGCACACGTCCTATACTGACATCAGGCACAGAATAGAACAAGACAATCCCAGGCTGCAAGGAGCTCATGGTGTAGCAGGAGCTCAGGAGCCGTGGGGGCCAGGGAGGGACCTGGCCCATCTAGGTGCTAAGTAGGAATAGGGGCTTGACAGGCAGAGGGCAGAACACAAGCAGAGCACACAGGCCTTCAGTGAGCTGCAGGCAGTAAGTGGGGGAAAGGCTGGAGAGGGAGCAGGCCCGTCCCAGAGGCCTCCAGTGCTGGCTCAGGAGCTGGACTGTGAGCTGGCAGGTGGGAACCCCTCAGTGGTTTGGGATCAAAGCTTTAGGGCACTCTGGTAGCTAGGTGAAGCATGTTTGTTAATGGACTGAGCTGGCCAGAGAAGAAACCATGACAGGAGTTCAAATGATCAGGGCTTGTCTACAACAGCAGAAATGAGTGGAGAGGAAAAGGTAGACTAGAAATGTGGAAAGACGGAATCCGGCCTCCCCCACAGAACCCTCGTCATTGCTTCCTCAGTCCTGCCCTTTTCTCACTACTCCCTGTTCTTACCAGCGTCTTTCACAGTGCGTAAATGATAAAACCATTAGCTAAGTATAGAAAGTAACTTTCTTAATCTGATGAAGAATATCTACAAAAACCCACAGGAAATATACTGGATGATAAAATATTGAAAGCATTCCCCTGAGATCAGAAACAAAACAAGGGTGACCACTACCACCACTTCTATTCAACACTGTCCTGGAGGTCCTAACCCATGCAATAAGCAAGAAAAAAATCATAAGCAATGGAAAGGCAGAAATAAAACAGCCATTATTTGCAGATGATAAGATGGTGCCCATGGAAAATTCAAAAGAATATATACACACTACTAGAATTGATATGTGGACTCAGCAAGGTCATTTGATACAAGGCCAATATGCAAAAAGCACTTGCATTTTTATATACCAGCAACAAACAATAAACAAAAAAATTTTAATGTTACTATTTTTAATAGCATAAAAAAGTAAAATTCTTGGGAGAAAATATAAGGAAAGTGTGCAAAAATCTCCACATTGAAAACTGTAATACGAGGGGCCTTCAAAAAGTTCATGGAAAGGTTCATATTACCTTTTAATCCCATTTTTCTATGAACTTTTTGCAGTACCCTCATACACTGTTGAGGGAAATTTAAAAAGACCTAAGTAAACGGAGGGACAGATTACCATGTTTATAAATTGGAAGACTCAATGTTGTAAAGATGTATACATCCTTACCAAATTAATCTACAGATTCAATAAAATAAAAATAAGAATTCCAGCCAATTTTTTTAAGGAAACTGACACAATGATTCTAAAATTCAAATGGAAATGCAAATGGCAAAGAATAGCCAAGGTCATCTTCAAGATAAAGACCAAGATTGTAGGACTTACACAACCAGATATCAAGTCCTATTATAAAGCGACAGACATTAAGACACTGGGATATTGGTGCAAGGATAGGCAAATAAACCACTGGAACAGAATAGAGTCCAAAAATAGACCTTTCATAGGCAGTCACTTGCTAACTGACAGACTCCACTGCAGGGCAATGGGGAAAGAATGGTCTTTTCTAGGAGTCATTTAGGGTCAACTGCATATATGCATATACATTTGGAGAAAAGGTATCTGGACACTTACCTCTTACCATACTATTTCTAAAAGGAGGGCCAACGCTAAGCTGGATTTTTGTTTTCTGGCTATGATGCCACCTCCTGCAGGGATGCAGGTCCCCTTACCTGCCATTACAAAGACGAACACTAGGCGGCGCCCGCGGCACGCCCAGGCAGCCACCTGTCACCTCCAGCCTGGGTCTTCCCGGAGAGTACCGGCCCCGCCAGGGCTCACCGGCCTGCATCGCCCAGGGCCCAAACGCAGGCACGTCCTGTCCCTCCCTGGGGCCTCCGTGGCCATGAGTTGGAACCTGGGCTTGGTTGCATATCGGCCTGCGCGATTCCTAGAAAGTCTTTAACCCACTCACCGAGCTTCAGTTTCCCCTGCGGCTGTTACGCAAAGTAAGCAAAGCATGTTTCCACGGAGGGATCCCAACTTCCTTCCCGGTCTCCGCGGGAAGTTTCATGTTTTATTTTTAATTTTATATCCAATTTGCGTTCTACTACTCTCCCTCGTATCCGTGTTTGCATATAAAAATACATAATAGGAAGGAACTCCAAAAAATTCATGGAAAGATTCGTCCTTTAATTTTATTTGCCCACGAATTTTTTGGAGTATTTATGCCCTGGAATCTTCTGGAAAGATTTGCTTTGTCTCTCTAGGAGTTTGAATACCAGCTCCACCATGCACTACAGCTGGGTGACCTTGGGCGAGTTACTTTACCTCTCTGGATGTCCTGATTAGTAACTCAGGGTAATAATAGTACCTGCCCCACAGGCGGACAGTAGTAAAACGACGGCGGGAAGGCGCGCGGCACTTCAATCAACGAGGACGCAAAACTGCTGGGAGTGGATCCCTTCGGCTGCCAGCGGGGGGCGCTCACCTTTGAGGCGCCCGGTGAGGTAGAGGAAGCCGTCGGCGTCCAGGCGGCCGGCGTCGCCCGTGTGCAGCCAGCCGTCGGCGTCGATGGCCTCGCACGTCTTGTCCTCCATGTTCAGGTAGCCCATGAAGACGGTGCGGCCCCACAGGCAGATCTCGCCGATGCCCTCCGCATCCTCGTTCACCAGCTTCACCCGGCAGCCTGGCAGCACCTTGCCCGAGCTGGCAATGGAGGAGGGGAGGCTGGTCAGAGGGAGCCTCTCCTCCAAGCCCTCACCGTGGAGCCTGGTCTCCGACCTCTCGGTCTGCACTGATGGCTAGAAGGTGTCCCCTCCCAGGGTTTTTGTATTTTATCAGGGGACTTAGAGCTGAAAGGTAGGGCCAATGAAAGGTTTATAGGTGAATGGATGGGTGGATGAATGAAATGCTAAGGGCAGAACTTGGAGCGCTGTGATGGGGACGGTGGGTATTCAAGCACAACAGATGATCCTTCAAATCACTTCCCAGAACTGAGCGCCCTCCCACCCCCCAGAAGTCTGGCCCTGTCCTCCCACTCCAACTGCCCAACTGGTTCTGGGCCATCTGCTGTCCTGGGAGACTCTCTCGTAAGGGCTTATGGGCGTGAGGATGTGTGGCAGCCTTGGGCCTCACCTGTAGAGCCGGTAGTTGTAGGGGCTGGACATGAAGTGGGGGCCTGAGGTCTCACTGAGTCCGTAGCCCGCGTACAAGCGGATGTTGAGGCCCAGGAAGAAGCGCTGTGTCTCTGCGGTCATGGGAGCTGCCCCATAGAAGCATTTCTGACACTTGGCAAAGCCCAACACCTGGCGAACCTTGGCTAGCACCAGGTAATCGGCCAGTCTGGTTGTGAAGGGCTTCAGGTCACTGGTGGGAGAGGGAGAATGATCCACGGAAGGAAACACACACTCACATTAAAAGGGGTTCATTGGGTACACACTGGCATGGCTGCTCCGGTTATCTGTTCTGATTGGTTGTTCCAAATGCCAAACCCATTGTTAAATATTTTGAATATTGGCCCCGCTCATGAACATGCAGGCAAGTTTAGGCGCACATGCATGTGATTCTGTGCAAATGTATCTTGAGCCAGGAAGTCAAACAGATTCAGCTGTGTACAGGTGCACAGGCAACAAAGATGCATGCAAATTTGCACACACAGTATTGCACATGTGCAGAGACTTGAAGTATGTATTCATGTACATACATGTACAAACATGTGCATGATCCCACTGAAGCCACAAATGCTTCGTTCATGCATATTCAGTTTTCATGTCTGCGCAAATGAAGCTATAGGTGCACAGATGGGTGCACGTGTTGCATGATACCCATTCACAGACACCTGGTAATGGAAACTATTTCTAAATTGAAACCAGGCCAGATTTATATCACTGACCCTCCCACAGCACTGTGTGTGAATTTAAAATGCAATCAAAAGGGGGTGGAGCCAGCCCGGTGGCGCACTGGAGAGTGCGCTGCTTGGGAGCGTGGTGGCACTCCCACCGAGGGTTTGGATCCCATGTGGAGACTGGTTCCCGCTCACTGGCTGAGCGCAGTGCGGGCGCAATACCAAGGGTTGCGATCCCGTTGCCAGTCCCCAGTGCGGGCGCGACACCGAGGGTTGCGATCCCGTTACCGGTCAGTAAAAAAGACAAAAAGGAAAAAATAAATAAATAAATAAAAGGGGGTGGGGGAGAGATCCCAGTGTTCACCTGGAATGCTGGAAAGGCTGGAAAGGCTAAGCCCCTACAACTGTGGTCCCTTCTCCAGCCACCTACTGAGGACAGGAGACCTCAGGAGACAGTAGCAGGAGCTGCTCTTAGAGAGGTGAATTCCACTTCAGAGGAAGCAAGTCAGTTCTCCCAGTCAGAACCACAATAAGGTGACTGTTCCCATCAGGGTCAGGAAGAGTACAGGAGCTCAAGCCCAACCATTGATGGGGCCCCCGCACAGGGGTTTGCAGAACTGACAGGCTGATGGAGCAGAGATAAGCCTAGCCTGTCAGATCCTTGGTTGGGTACTGGATTATGACCCAACCCTCCTGCCTCTCTAGGCCTCCTGCCCCCTGGCCCTCTGTACCTGCCAGGGCAGGTGAGGTTCTGCTCCAAGGTCACCGACATGGCCCACAGCAGCATCTTGCGTCGGATGAAGCCTGACCGAGCCGCCACCTCCTGGATCCGCTCCATGATCTTCTCCCACACGCGGGGCACACCCATGTGGGATGTGGGCTGCACCTCACGCAGTGTGTTCACCAGGCTCCCCTGTTCACCACCGGGGAGAGGAGGCCAGCTGGTTCAGGGCCAGCTGCAGTCCAGGAGGCCCCTGTCCCCAGACTCAGGCGTGCACACACTTCACAGCATGCCCACTGCACATGAATGTTCACACGGGTGCACACACCTGCATGCAACCTGTGGCATGTGCTGTTGGCTGTCAGCTCAACAGCCATCCCTTACTCTTTTTTCCTAACAGAACTCTGATGTTGGTTAGGTATCAAGTGGCCAGATGCTTCAGAAATCCCTCAGTCCCTTCCCACTCCTGAGGGTGGTGGCTCTTCATTAATCTAACTCTAACAGGATAATCCCATCTCCCTGAGCAGTGTTTGGAATGGACATGTGACATTGTTCAGGCCACTGAGATGCAGAGTGGGGGGAAGTTTGCTAGGGGCCTCCTGGGAAAGTTTTCCTCAAGGTTTAAATACACCCAAAGAATAGGTGTAGTTTATGAGGCTGGGATGCAAGGAGGGGCTGCAGCCATCTGGTGACCATCTTGTCATACTCTGAGAACAGCCCGTTCTTGAAGGCATTGCAGACCCAGAGAGCCACTCTGACTCGACTTTAATGTCATCATTTTCCTTCTTGTTTGGTCATTTGAGTCAGGCTGTGCTAATTGGAGCTGGCAAGATTCTGACTGATAAACACACAGGCCAGCAGCACACACACAGGGCACTCAGACATGCGTACACACTTGGGTGCACCCTCGCACACACCCTCAGACACCTGCATGGCAGAGAGGGAGACTGACCTGCAGGGCGTCAGGCTCGGCAAAGCAGACCTGGGCACCCCACTGGATCCCCGTCCACAGGTCGTAGATCTGGGCAGCAATGTGGCTGAGGGGTAGGTAGCTGACCACCACCTCCTGCTGGACTTCTGCTGGCTGGATGTCACCAGCCAGGCTGCCGAACCGTGCTGTCCATGTGATCTGGAGCACAGGCAGATGGGCCCCAGCAGTGTCCACAAGCCAGCCCTGGCAGTGCTCACAACTGTGGCCAGCCCGGAGGCTTGGGGCTACTTACTGGGGGACCCCCAGAGTGAGTGGCTTTCCAGGCATTTCCACAGGGACGGGGCTCCCCTGCCTGCCCCCTCCCCTTGGCCAGGCTCAGTCTGGCCCACAGTCTGATGGGCTGTCCTCCTTGTCCCAGCTCCCTGAGCTAAGGGGCCAGAAGAACCTTCCTAGGGGCCACTGGGGCAGGGCCATGGCCCAGATCCACCCCTGCCCACCCTACTCATCTGGGCATCTATCCTACATTGTCCTGACTCAGCATCACGCCCTTGGGGCTCCCAGTGGTGCCCGATGTGTAGACCAGCACGCAGCACTGGTTGGGCTGCTGGGCTTCGATGATGGTGTCCAGGGCCTCCTCAGGCACCTCGTTCCCCAGCTCCATGAATTCCTCCATCTGTGGTCAAGTGGGGGAGGGCAGGCATTCCAGGTCAGCTGGGTGCCCAGACATCCCCCCCACCCAATGCCCAGTCCCCACTACCCATACCGTGTACACATTGGCCATCTTCTGTGGAGGAGGTTCTTGATATATCACTACTGCCTTCAGATGTGGCAAATTTTTCCAAATCTGCATTGACAGGAAAAATAAATCAGGGTTTAACAAGAAAAATGTCACCTCCTGAAAAGAACCCCCTCTCCCAGTGTTAGTCTGTTTGGCAGGCACACTTTAGCAAAGGTCTCTGGGTTCCCCATCTCTGACCTTTGGCCCCAGCAGGACAATTGCCACCCTTCATCCATAGTTTCCCATCATGAAAATTTGGGAGCAGTGAAGGTGGGCAGAAGCAGGGGGCAGGGAACAACTCCCTAATAAAAGAAAACCACCAAACAACCTGGGGTCTGGTGAAACAAACTATGATCCAGGCATACAGCGAGTACTATGTAACTGTAGATGAGAGGGACAGAGGGACAGAGGGCGAGAGTTCTACATGCTGATATAGAGTGGTTTCTAGGATATCTTATTAAGTGAAAAAAGGAATGTGTATAATCTGCAAGTAGTATGCCAAATTTGTGTAAGAGAGGGATACAATGTGAATATACATATCTATGTTTGCAAGCACGTATTTGCTTATATTTACAAAAAGGAGACCTGGAAGGTTAAACCAAAAACTACTTAGACTATCTGTAGGGAGAGAAAGGAAATGGGGGTAAGAACAAAGGGATAGAAGCAAAAATTCTTTGAGCGTATTCTATATAATTTTGACTTTGGAATCATGTAAATGTTATAATCATTTGAAAAATAAAATTATATGAAAATAAAAAAAAATGATTCCCTAAAACTTAAAAATCTGAAAGAAATGAATTCAACTACATATATACGAAATTGGTGACATAGCCAAACACACAGACACATACACGTGCACGCACACACACACACACATATTACATCAAGGGATTTTATAGCAATGCACTTTGACCCTCTATATACTCTAGGAACAAAAAGGAATTCCAGGATTGGCCAGTTAGCTCAGTTGGTTAGAGTGTGGTGCTGATAACACCAAGGTCAAGGGTTCGGATCCCTATACCAGCCAGCTGCCAAAAAAAAAAAGGACTTCCAAACTTCATTTAGTAGTATTGTTGGCGATAATATCAATAGTACTATTTTTAAACTATTTGATATTTATTGTAGGATTAGGTTAACGTTATTGGGCACTCTTTGATGTTTATTATAGGATTAGGTTAATGTAAGTTAAGATAAAAGAAATGCAAAAATAAAAGGAAAGAAAGTAAGTTAAAATCACACAATAGAATATTTGAATCAGAAATATCAGTGTAAACTCATGATTTTTTTTAAAAAGTATATATTCCTGAGACTTCTGATTCTGGTGAGAATGGAGTAACACTTTCCTCCCACTGAAAATACTAGAAAACTGAACGAAACATATAAACCAATTGATTTCAGATATAGACCACAGACAGGTCAGGACTGAGAGGGGGAAACAAATGCAATGAGCCTCTGAGTGCCCCAGCGTTCTGCCCATAGGCAATTTCTGGGCTGTGGCAGAGAGAGAGAGAGAGAGAGAGAGAGAGAGAGAGAGAGAGAGAGAGAGAGAGAGAGGAAGAACTCAGTTGTCTTCCCGAGTTGAGGTGACAGAAATCAGAGCTCAGGAAAGCTGAGGTGGCTGGGATGTCTGGGACAGAATACCACAGAGAAGAGAACTAGATAGGGAAGGAGTCCTGGAAATCCTTTCAGGATCCTCTGCAGTCTGGCTGCATACCCACCTGTGCACCTACAGAAGGTGAAACTCCATGAAGCTGGAGGAAGAGCAGCGACAGAGGCTGAAGAGAAACAAGAGCTCGTATAGGAATTGCTCATGGCCCAGTCAGACAGCGTGGAGGGACCTCCATGAAGCAGAGACACAGGGTCATGCCTTGGTAGTTGGGCTTAATTAGCTCTAGAATAAAGGCTATCTAGATCTGCCCTCGAAAGCCTGAATATAGCCTCAAAACAAAGTTCAGAGAGAAGAGAAAAACCTGGAAAAAAATGACCTGTGAGACAGTATCAAGAAATCTATCATACATGTAATTGGAGTCCCAGAAAATATTTTCTAAAAATTAAAAATCTGAGAAATTTTTAAATTCGATTAAAACTATAAATCCACCAATTCAAGAATCTCAATGAACACCAGGCAGAATGAACCCAAAGAAAAAAACACCAAGACACAACGTAACCAAATTGCTGTAAATCACTGACAAAGAAAAAAAATCTTACAAGCAGCCAGAGAGACAGGCACACTATTTGGACAGGAACAAAGATAAGAAATTGCAGACCTCTCCCCCAGAAATTATGCAAGTGGAAACACTGGAATGGGATACTTAAAGTGCTGAAAGAAAAAAAATAAAACCTGTCAACTCAGAATTCCAGACCAAATGAAAATACCTTAAAAAAAAAAACAAAGGCAAACATAAACACTTCTTCAAAGAGTAGCTGAGAGAATGTGTTGCTGTTGGACCTGTTCTACAAGAAATGCAGAAGGAAGATGATACCAGATAAAAACCTGATCTACATAAAGAATGCAGTGTCAGAAATGGCAAAAATTCTTTCCTTTGGGGCCAGCCCGGTGGCGCACTGCTACAGTGCGCTGCTTGGGAGTGCGGCGGCGCTCCCTCCGAGGGTTCGGATCTCACATACAGACCGGTTCCCGCTCACTGGCTGAGCGAGGTGTGGGCGCAGCACCGAGGGTTGCGATCCCGTTGCTGGTCCCGGTCCGGTACGGGCGCAACACTGAGGGTTGCAATCCGTTGCCGGACATGAAAAAAGACAAAAAAAAAGGAAAAAAAAATTCTTTCCTTGTTTTAAAATGTCTTTGAAAGATACTCAACTGTTTAAAGCAAGAATGATAACAATGTATTGTGGGGTTTATAACCTATAAAGTAGTAACGTGGATGACAACAGCACAAAGGATGGGAGGGGAGTGGAAGTATACTGTACAAGGTTCCGTGTTACCTGTGAAGTGCTATAATGTCTGAGAGTGACTGTGACAAGTTAAAGATGCACATTGTAAACACTAGAGCAAACACTGATATAATTAACAAAGGATAGCTAATAAGCCAGTGGAGATAAAATGGAATACCAAAACAAAATAAAGCAAAAACTCAATCCAAAAGAAGTCAGGAAAGAGGAGAATAGGAACAAAAAAACAGATGGGAAAAATAAGAAACAAATAGCCAGATGATGGATTTATAGGCAATATTTTCAGATTGGATAAAAGGCAAGACTCGACTATATGCTAAGAGAAACTCACTTTAGGTATAAAGTTTCAGAACAAGAACCACTACCAGGGATAAGGAGGGACATTTCTGAATGAAGAAGGGGTAATTCTTCAAGAGAATGTAACAATCTAAGTATGTATATGCCTAATAACAGAGCTCCAAAATACATGAATCTAAACTAACAGAACTGAAAGGAAAAATAGATGAATCTACAATAATAATGGGAGATTTCAACACTCCCTTTCTCAGTACTTGATAGGACAAGTAAACAGAAAATTAATAGGGATATAGAAAACTTAAACAACCTTATAACACTACCAACCAACTTGACATAATTAACATTTACAGAACATTCTACCCAACAAATGCAAATACACGTTCTATCCAATATGCATAGAACATTCACCAAAATCAACCATTATTCTGTCCACCGCAAAAACAGGTGTTTTAGGGCCGGCCCAGTGGCGCACTGGATAGTGCGCCGCTTAGGAGGCGCGGCAGTGCTGCCGCCCGAGGGTTCGGATCCCACATACAGACCGGCTCCCGCTCACTGGCTGAGCGAGGCGTGGGAGCAACACCGAGGTTTGCAATCCCGTTGCCGGTCCCTGGTCCGGTACGGGGGCAACACTGAGGGTTGCAATCCGTTGCCGGACACGGAAAAAACAGACAAAAAAAAAAAAAGAAAAAAAAAAAAAAAAAAAAAAAAAGGGGTTTTTGGGACAAAAAGGGCCCCGGGAAGGGGGGGGTT